ATTTATTAAATGCTGAGTTAGTTTTATACCAGTTATACGAGATGCAAACCTTGCAAAATCTTAAATTTTTATCTTGTTTTATGGGGCAACCGTGGCTCAGGGGGTTGGGAAGCTCATCTGTAACCGGAAGGTTGCCGTTCGATCCCCCTGCTCTCTCTGTCCTGGTCGTTGTGTCCTTGGGCAAGACACTTTACCCTACCGCCTACTGGTGTTGGCCAGAGGGGCCGACGGTTCGATATGGCAGCCTCACTTCTGTCAGTCTGTCCCAGGGCAGCTGTGGCTACAACTGTAGCTTGCCTCCACCAGTGTGTGTGAATGTGAGAGTAAATGAATAGTGGAATTGTAAAGCACTTTGGGTGCCTAGAAAAGCGCTATATAAATGCAATCCATTATTATTATTATTATTATTATTATTATTATTATTATTATTATTATCTTGTCAGTCCACTGAATATTTTCCCAAAGGTCTAGGGGATCATTATAATGTTTTTTGGCAAATGTGACACAAGCCTTTGGGTCAGCAGTGGCTTTCACCATAGGTAAAAGCCACAGCAAGGTAAAAAGCAAAATCAACTTATCTGTGCATTTTCATGTTTCGGTTTATTGTAATGCTTGAGCACTTTAGATGTTCAGATCCACATCCATAATGGAGTATTATTAATAGTGCTGATGAAGTGATTTTTTTTTAATTTAAACTATTTTCAATCAAGTTAATAGAGATAAATGAATCATCATATTTTTGTATTCCTATTGTTTTCGGTTATGTGCCTATGCTGATAGTTGCTATGCAGCAACTCTCTATACTCTCGCCACAGGAGGCCTTAGCAGGGATAAACTAGCGAGTCCGTTCACATCAAGATAAACTGATAATTAGTCTTATGGTAGTGCTTTCGACTACTGATTAGTAATAATGAGGTAATAGTTGGGTAATAAAGTGGGAACAAAAAGGTAATAATATGGAAATTTGCACATTATTACCACCTAATAACCAAGTAATATCCAAGTAACATAATTGTAGCAACAATGGTTACAGGTGAGTAATATTATACTGAAATTCATTTACTGAATAACAAAGGGACAAAACATGGAGTAATAAAGTGGAAACAAAGCTATAACGATGAAGCAACACCAATTAGAGAAAGTAGTGTAATACCTTGGTAACAATATAAAACAACCTGCTAGCAATGCAAAGGATGTGTCTGTGCATTTGAATTATCATCTGTTAGAAAGGCTTTAAATGGTAATAACCTTTAATAATAATAAGACTGTTTTGACTGATGTTTTACAATAATAGGAAAGTATTACCATATTATAATGCTTCAATTCTAATTCTTTTTAAGAATTAATAAGGGCACCTTAAGAATTGCAATAATTACCTCGGAATATCTGTGGTACTTTCTGTGTAATACAAAGAAATCTGGGTTGCAAAATGCAAAACTGCCTGTTTCAACTTAATACCATGTTAATCACTACATAGTGCAGCCCAGATTCCTTTTATTACACATAAACTACAACAGGTATTCCTAGGTGATTATCACATTTGACGTTTCCTTTAATAAGTTATTAATGTGGTACTAATGAAAAACAGGCAGTTTTGCATTTTGCGGTCCTAATTCCTACTTATATAACCAAACAAACACCAAAGATATTTCCAGCTAACATGTCTTGACATTTCCTTCAATAGGTTAATTTTTTTTACCAACTAGAAATAGGCAGTTTTGCATTTTGCAACCCTAATTCCTGCTTATTACACAGAAACCACACGTACCATCAATGTTTCCATTTAATAAGTCAGAACGATAAACACAACATTTACATTATTGCTTTTAAGCAAAGTAGGATGCTGGAGAACCAGGATTAACTGAGGCATTATAATATTATTATATTATATTTCTTATTATTCCTATTATTCTAAAACATCAGTCAGTACAACCTTATTCTTATGAGGTTATTACCATTTAAAGCCATTCTAATAATGGATTAAAATTCAAATGCACATACATAACCTTCATAGTGCTAGCAGGTTATCAAATTCTTATTATGCTACTATTACTAATTGGTTTACTCTTTTGTTTACTCTTACTCAGTTGTCAAAAAAAGGGCAATGTGTAGCTTGTTAGCACTGCACACAGCAGGAGTGGTAAGTCTGAGAAGTGCAAACAGATTCAAGTTTTCCAAGTACTATAAAGGTAATACAAAATAACTCACCTAGCTATTGTAAGGGCCCTGCCTGCATCAGGTAACCTAATTACCTGATTACTAATACTATGATGGCCTTTTATCCTGCTCAGGTTCCAGTGTGACTCAAGCATGTTGCTAAATGTTCATTCTCTGTCCTCTTTTTTTATATTCTTTTGTTGCTGTACTGTAAACTGACTGCCTCTAAAATTCTTCGAATTGTGTCACAGTTTTGTGTTTTCAGTGTTGTACAACTAAAAGTAAAGGTCATTGTAGATCAATTTAATCAATTTAATGTAGAAGGTTAAGTTGTTTTATGTTGGAAATGTTTAAGGTCGTAAGACCATGGATTTTAACTTACATACTGTTTTTGTGTACACATCCACAGTTCTTATTGCCATTAAACCTAAAACAGAAGCTGTTCTGGATGGAACAAAAAGAAAGACTCTGGACTCAGCTGGCAGGCTGCCTGATCACACAAACAATCCTCTGTCCTGTTTATAAAAATTGCCCTCATGTCAAGAATCCCCGGAATGTAAATAATGAAGGAAAACATGCAAACAAATCATCACATCTAAAACCCACTGCATATCATCAGTAAAATATCTTAACAATTAATGATATTAATGTGAGGGTTTACTTGATGCAGGCATTCCTGCTTATTTTAAAACTACAGTTGATATAGTGTAGATCCCTCCCGTCCATAAATATAAAAGATCCTGATTTCATGAGCAAATCAGGAGTTGCAGAAAAATATATTTGTTCAGAAGCATCGACTCTATAAAGCTGGGCAGTCTTATACATTGTGCATAGAGCTCCATAAATGCATGTGCTTTAGATTCAGATGTCTTTTCAACTGATGTGACTTCATGAGCAAGCACTCACTAACAAGATCAAAGCACAGCACAGCCACAGAATGTATGAATCAGACCAAAACAATCATTACTGCTCAGCCTGAAGGACTGATACGCATCATAGTAGGTTTAGACTTGCCAATCCCACTGACCTTCTTTCAGGGTTAGCGATGGGTTGACATTCCATGACAGTTTCAATATGGATAGGAGCAAGAATGCTATGTATTTTTGTGTTGTTGTTGCCCTACAAGCTCTGCTGTTTAGACTGATCTAGAGCAACTTTGACTCTGTTACATACTGTTGGGACTTGACATTGTTCCTAAACAATATTAGGACATGATAGATTGCTATCGGTGGTGCTGAAATAGTGGTAGGTCAGTCAGTACAGTGCTTGATTGGGACTGTAAAGTATTTCAGCAAGAGTCTAGTACTGTGGCTAAAAATTGTGCAAAATATTCAGAAAAATCAGATTTACTATTATACAATAACACACAGGTAAAACTGAAATAAATTTTAACTGTTCTTTTGCAACAGTTGCCATTTTACCATTTTAAGGATTTGCTTTACAAATCCTAAAAGGAGAAAATTTGTTCCAAGTCTGTGAAACAACTTTACTCTTGTTTGCTTATTTTGTTTTTCTATTAATTCCATAAATGCAAAATGAGCACGTTGATGCCAGTGTGATTAAGTTTGTCTTGCTGTATTGTTGTTTAGTCAGCACTTTATCCCAGCCTTACTCCCTATTGTGTCAGCTTACACCTAATGAAGGAACAGCCAAGTTATGTTCATTATTTACCATACTGATGACCTTTTAGAAGAGGCCTCTGTGATGTCCAAACAATGGATTATGAAGAGGATTTTGTAGAAAAAGCAAGCAGTATATTTGTCAGCCAGTCTGCATTGGGATGTTGAAGCTAATATCAGTGAATGGGTTTGTCTGACATGCTGATATTTTTCACGCAAAAATAGGCAAGAAACAATATGCTTGGGATAATTTAGAAATTGTCTCATGATCTGTTAATTACACATATGTCATATGGTAATCCTTTTATTTTCGCAGCATAGTGACGTATGACTGTGAGTGGTTAAAGACCTGTGGCCATTAGTTTGGCAGACTTAGCAAATGGATGAAGTGAGTTGAAGAAAGAATTCCACCAGCTAAATCACTTAAATATAAAATTATAGTTGGTTTGGATATTACCAGTGAGCTTTTTCACCTTTGTTTGGCTATTAAGATTTCATTGGTACTTATGCAGCTGTCAGTTTTCCATATGGAAAGTCACTATCAGCAGAAGCCTTCTTGATGAATGTGGGTTGTTGTTTTTCAGCCTGGTTCTATTTGCCCCTTCTTAACTTTGAGCAGCCCTGCTTTAAACAGTAGTAACACTATTCCTATAACAGTGATAAAATTAATTGCTTTGGTCATTGTCCTTATTGGTTCTGTTGCTCTCAACATTGCATTACGTAAAAGTAACACAAATCCCCGTGTCCAACTAAGGTTTGGGGACCGCTGAAGAAACAAAACGTGTGTAAATCTTACGGACTTGTCACTCAGTTCTTTTTTTTTTTCTGTAACCACAACTATATTTCTATTCATCTACAGCCATCAGCAAACACTTTACAACAGTTTTTGCTCGTGTCCTCCTTCCAGAAACACGCTTTCCCCATCACCTTTAGTTCTGCATCGTCACACAACAATTAAAACAATCAGTGTCTCTAGTTAACAGCTGCAGAAGATTAGCAGTGTCGTTTTTGAATGGAGTGTTTTCCACAGACTAATCCGCTCAACCCCCCGCCCGTTTTTAACGTCGGTTGCATGATAAAACAGACAGCACGTCAGTCCTTCTGCTACTCGATCCCATTCCACATATTTCATTTAGGGCAGCCTACAGGCAGTGCATAACTTTGGCGGTGGAATTCATAAACAGCAGTAGCAGAAGCGAGACACTTGTGTGAGGGGAGACTCACCTGAGAAAGACCGTCTCTCCTTGTCGGACTGTGATATTGTCCATCACTTTGTTGTAGGACTGAGAATCCCCTTGGCTGCGGACCTGCAACCCTGCAGGTACAAGAAACAAAATCCTCAGGGAGAGAAAAATTGTGCATTTGGAAAAAGCGACAAAATATCCCCGGATAGACATCGTCTTTAGCCTTCGAAGGCGCACAAACAAAAATCATACAGCGAGACAATGAGGCGGTCCTCCGCCGTGAACGGAGATTATTGTACTCCCAGTTCATTAGTCTTAATCCAAATCTTCTCGCCAGGTATTTGTGGTGTGAAGAGCAAGGAAGACAGAGGACGCTGTCTGGCTGCACTATGGATTATCACTGCCCTTTGTTTTAAACGGGGGGTGGGGATTATTCTCATTATCCCTCTGTTTGATTGTTTGTTTGTTTTTTTCTTTGGGTTTTGTTTGTCTTTTTTAAAACATAAGAAATAAGACGTAAAGATCCCTTCAGGAAAGTATTGAACGCTTCATCCTCGGTAGAGAGAATCGAAAAAGTACACAATTAAGAAAAGAGGACTTGGAATCGTATTTAAAGGGAGGAAGATGCTAAGTTTGCGAACTGCATGGGTAGCAAGTGATTTGACGATCTGTAATAAGTGCGCTTTCTGTGTCATTGTGTAGTGTCTGCAGATAGTGTTCAATGAAAAGGGGGAAAAAAACACGGCTGTGCTCATCATTATGGAAAAGTTCCTTCCTGTTAAAGTATTTTATGATGATCGTTTTTATACTTTATACCACTGCATAGAAAAATCTGAATCAGAATCAAGAAAAAAGAACTTCAGTATACACATTTTTGAAGCATATACAGTGCAAAAGATTTGAGCCACCCTTCATTTCTTAATATTTTGATGGGAAATTAGAACACAAGTGTAGCATTTTTTTTTCTAATCAGAGTATTACTCTTAGATCTTGAATATTTCCTTTTGAAACGAAGTGCCAGAGTACCAGTAAACTCTTTTAAAAAGCAGCCACCTGTGCCTCCTCTCTCCTCCAAATGCATTTTAGGAATTGTGACATCCTGTACAATGTCAAACTGACATATTGTCTGAGTCTCAAACTAGAGAAGAGAGCAGGCACAAAATTGAGAAATGAGAAAATACCACTACATTTGGTAAAAGCTTATACATAAACATATTGACTGGCAATCAACATCCCTTTACAGTAGTTTATTTGGTTTTTCCTGTTGCCATTGTGCTCATCAGTGACATCCCTGCATGTTCGTCAGTTTGTAGCGAAATCTTTATTTGAATGATTACATTGCCAAAAATATTCACTTGTACGCCTTCACACCCCTTTCAACTTGAGAAACACTGCCTAATCACATTAACTGAATTTTATTTTAATGTATTGCACACCGACCTAAACATTTCAGCACTCCTGATGGCAATGGCACCTCACACAGAGGACACACTCAAAAGTCCTGTTTCCATTTGCAGCTTTAAGATTTGCAGTTTTTGGTACAAAATCTCTGCTATTCCACAATGGAATTTAATATTTTATTAATAAAAAGTTGGTACAAAGCAAAAAAAAGAAAAGAAAGAAAGAAATGTATTACTAATAATTCACAACTCACATTTCACCATCCATTCCTACAGTATTTTGTTATATAAGCTTTAGACACCATTTCTTGTTCATGGCTAATTCACCAATTTACCTAAGATGTCTGGGGCAGATTCATGAATTTGTGGAGTTTGCATGTTTTCTCAATACTGCAGCCCATAAAGCGTGCCTGTCATATAAACCATTGTTTGTTACTTGCCATACCTTCCCTTTTTGAAACCATATCTCATGTCAAGATTGATGTTTAGACTTTATTATTTCCATTTTTATTATCAATAAACATGGTTTCACATTGTCTAAAGGTGTTTGGTGTTGTTCAGTAATACCAGGAGTTCACTCAGAAAACAACACTGGATACAAAAGCATCAAGAGACTGCTTTGATTAATGGCAACCTAATAACTAATAGAGTTGTTTTTTATAACTTGGTCATATTAGATGTGTTTTCTCTTTTAAAAATATGGATGTTTGAAGATAATTTCTGGCTTAATTAGAGAATGATTATTCGGGCAAGCTCTAATCTTCTAACCTTTTCTTTCTGCAAAATAATCAATTATCTTTTGACATAACAAATGTCCTCTTTGTTTTTACTACCACTGTCTGGTATCATAATAGTGATTCATAGCCAGGGTCACTGTATTTATAGAACAGGTGCCATGCAATCTTTTTTGAAGCACTATGTTACCACAGAGAATTAAACTTGCTCATGGATGACATTGGCTTTGGTTGTTTAGACAACAAATGAATGCAAAATGAAGTTGTTGGAACTAAATATAGCACATCTTCGCAACAAACTGCAATCTAAGAGTCTGCAACACCATTTACTGTATATTTATTGTTAGGATTAGATGTACAGGAAATAGATCATGCTGGTGCTCTCGACAGAAAGCCAAATGGTCCCCTCTGCTGCTCTGCACTGTGATCTGTCTTGATGACTTCCAGATGGCTAGCTTTATTATTTACTCATGTTACAGCTAGTGCTGTCAGCGTTAATCTCGATAAAATTATGTTAATGCCATAACCGCATTAACGCAGCAAATCCGTTAGCGAGTTAACACAGATTGCACAGATCCCCCCCTCCAGGGGCAAGGGCACCTAGACCCGGTTTGTAGAGTACGCTTGGGGAGTGTGATCGTGTGTACAGCGTCTCTTTATGTCTGTCTCCACGTTGGTTGAGTGTGGAGTAAGTGTATATGAGAGCATGAGGGTGGGAATGGATGTTTGTATATGTGTGTGCCTGTATTTCTGTGTCTATATGTCAGGTTGGGTGTCAGGCGCCACCTCTCTGGGGACATCTTAGGCCCTCCAAGGTATGGAGGCCTACCTCCCCCTACCACCACTTCCCCTGCCAGTGGCGGACTCCCTCAGACATCGGTGCGTTGGTGGTTCTTTGTGTCCGGGGATGGGCGTCCAGGTACACACCGGCTCACTCCTTGGCGGCCGCTTATCGGGGCCTGGAGCCTGGGGCTTTCTCGGGCCATTTCGGAGGTGGGGTGCCCCCGGCCTCTCGGCCTGGGGCTCGGTCACTCAGGCACGGCTGGCTGCCGGCGGAGCTCACGGGCGCATCACTGCAACTCCCCCTGGCTTCTGCTCCACGGCTGCTGAGTGAGCCCTCATCTGGGACTCTCCTCAGCTCTTTCTGGGACAGTGGCGCGGCTGCCCCTCTGTTGGTCTTCCTTGGTCTCTTGTATTCTGGGGGCCTCTGGATGTCTGGAGTTTTGATCTCCTCCATACCTGCTTCATGCCCTGGAGGACGGGGCTGTGGCCCCCCCACACCCTCTAGCAGATCATTACATGAAGGAACCTTTTAAAAAACAAAAAACAAACGCGTCCATGCTCACAGGTGTACACACGGGTGGTCACACCCACAAACTACACCCTTTTTGGCTCCTACCTCAAAGCACACTGTGTTCTGTTGATCTTATGTGCTGCACAATAATGTTTAATATTTAGTATTTACTGTCATATTCCCATATATCATTGTGATGTTGTTTATTCTATTACTCTTGTTCTCTTCTGCTTGTTTTCTTTTTTCTTTCTCAGCAGGTGACCCAGGTGATTGATATATGCATTTTTTTTTCTTTTTTTCTTCTTTTTTTTTCTTTTCTGCTCATTCTGTTGGTTTTTGGTTTTTGCCCTTCTCCCCCGTCCCTCTTCTCAGCTGTTTCTCTTTCCCTCTTTCTTTCTCCCCTTCTTTCCCCCAGTCAAGTCTGTCCCGTATTCAGTAAGTGAAAATAAAATAAACAATAAAAGGTGAATCAAATGGACCATTATGGCAAGGCTGGGATGGTCAATTTGGTAAAGTAAATCCGTTGGGCATCTTTCTTTGCCTTTAGACAACAATTCTGATGGCAAAAGAGCCAAACGGGACAGGCAAAAAAGAAAAAAAACAAAACAAAAAAAAACACAGATTGCCCCGTGCATTGGACTGCACAACGTCTAGCGTTAGCACAGTTAGCTCCTTAACGCTTTAGGGCCGTGCAGCCCCGCACACGGAGCTATCCGCATTAACTCGCTAACATAGATTTGCCCGATTAATGCGGTTATGGCATTAACATAATTTTAACGAGATTAACGCTGACAGCACTAGCTACAGCCTTATTCTAATATGGATTCAATTCATTTTTCACCTGAAAACTCTATATACAATACCTTATAATTAGGGATGGGTACCGGTGTCCGGCACCGGTTCTGACATAAACGGTAGTAACCAGACCGAAAAGCAGCGCACATTTCGGTGCTTTATTTCGGTGCTTTTTTTTCCTGAGCTGTGATACACTTCTAGCCAATAATGTTACGTTTCCGAGGATAGTAGGCGGGTCCAGGTACGTGCGTTCTTTTAGAGCAGAGCTACAGATTAAAAATGCCCAAGGCGAAGCGGTCAAAAGTCTGGCTGTACTTCACAGCAAAATATGCAAACTCAGCAGCCTGCAACAAGTGCTTTAAGCTGATACTGTGATACTGTCAAAGGAGGTAACACCTCAAATCCGATGAAACACCTGGCGACGCATAGCGTTTTTTTTAAAAGCCCAGAAATGCGCCGTATGATAGCTTGCTGCGAGACCTCACACCGAGCGCATCTACTGTGCGTGGGTTGCCTGTTATCTGACCCGGAGTTAGCAATATCCCCCAAAAACCCCGAAGAGGAGAGTCCTGGCCCCTAGCACTGCCAGTGTAGCAGAAATGATGAGGATGATGATGGCAGCAGCAGCAGCCGTTCTTCTCTGCGTGAGTAGCTTAATGTTGTTCGTGTGTAATTTACGTTGAGTAGGCTAACCACGTTATTACATTAATGCATGTAAGGTGAACTAGCAAACCTCATCATAGCTACATGCGGCTGTCTTCTTGTTTGATGGCAGATACTCCCTTCACCCTGGCCAAAAAGGCTAAAATTACCAAAGAAAAAGTGGAAAACAGTTAAACATGAGAGGTTTTGGACAAAGTTTGTGTTTTTTCCATTGATTAAGCACTGCTTCCAGCCAAGAGTGATACCATATATGCCCCATAGCTGCAGAAAAGGCTAACATTGTTATCTTTTTACAAAAAACCAGCTGAACATGAGAGGTTTTTGGACCAATTTTGTGTTCTCCATTCTTTAAGCACCGGTTTGAGCACCGTTTGAGCACCGGCACCGTTTCAAAAGTACCGATTTGGCACCGGTATCGGATAAAACCTAAACGATACCCATCCCTACTCATAATG